CCTCCTCCTCCTCCTCCTCCTCCTCCTCCTCCTCCTCCTCCTCCTCCTCCTCCCCCTCGCTGGCCCGAAGGCTCCCCGTCGCCCGGCTCCTGGGCCCTGCCGTCGGGGCTGTGGCGGCCGCCAGTGGCGTTCCCCGGGGCACCCCCCGGGGGAAGCCCCTCGGCGGGGCGCGCGGCCGCTGCCGGTGGCGGCCGCAGGGACGCACACGAAGAAACACACACACAGATCCCAAGAGTCCCAATGTTTCCCATATTTTCTGGTTTCTTGATTTCCCCCCCCCCCCCGTCCCATATTTCCCAACATCTTCCTGGGGATCGACCCTTACTTGTGTCCGTGCTTTTTCCCCTCCCTGGCTCGGGGGGCGGCCAAAAGAGGGGGGCGTCCGAGAGGGGGGGGCGCACATCATGGCCGGCGGCACGTGCGCGGCCCAGGGGGAAAGCCAAGGCCGCAATGAAGTACGAAGAGGCGCCGCGAAATCTGAGGAAGTATCGTGCCCCACGCCATGATATCCCCCCGCCTAATCATCATCCCCCTCTCTGCCGCCCCCGACGCTGGAGGGCACCCCGAGGCTGGAAAACCGCTGGTACGAGACGAACGCGATCCGACAGGGGCCACTCGGTGGCGCGCACAAACGGGGTATGGGGGAAGGGGGAAGGCTTCTTATTGGGGGTCCCAAAACCGTGTGGTGACCGTGCGGGTGCCTCGGAACCCCAAGAGACCTCACCGCACGGTCCGTCACCGCACGGTCTTGGGACCCTTGAGGCCCCTGTCGCCCGGGACATCCTCGGAGAAGGACTCGAGTTCCAAAACCGTGCGGTGACCCCGAGTCCCTACTGACTCACCACATGGTGTGGTCACCGCACCGCCTGGGGGCCTCCGATCTTGGAAGGAGGCTGCTTCTTCGCAGGCGCGAGCCTCTTTTACATCTGCAGACAGGGCCCGCGCCTTCTGAGGAGCAAGGGTTTCTGAGAAGCCTTCCCCCCTCCGCGTGTGGCCGACCGAGACATGCGACGTCCTGACTTTTTCCATGCGCGGCCCCCAGAAGCCCTGGCTCTTGCCCCGGGACTGGCTCCTCACCCCGGGTCGGCTTTTGACGGCCCCGCGGGGCCCGGCGAGGGCCCCCGGAGGCCGAAAATGGCGAAGAACCTCCCGTTCCGTTCCGTTCCATTTTTAAACGTGTATATCTATATAGATATAGATATAGACATACCTGTTTTTTCATTGTTGTTCTTACTGCGGTTTTTTTTTCCGACGCGATCCCAGACCCCCGACGTCGTGAGAAACTCACGACGTTGGCCCTCCGAAGCCTGGAGACCTTCCCTGGGGCCGGTTCTTCATCCCGAGTCGTCTTCGACGCTCCCGAGGCCCGGCGAGGGCCTCCAGAGAGGCCAAAAATCGTCGAAAACCTTTGCCGTGAGTTTCTCGCGACGTCGGAGATCTGGGATCATGTCTGGGGAGCCATCCTGGCGCACGAAGGGCCCCCCGGAGGCCGAAAATGGCCAACAACCTCCCGTTCCGTTCCGTTCCATGTTTCAACGTGAATATATTTGTATATATATATATATACATATTTATGTGTGTATATATATATATATATATATTTACTTATACATGAGAATATATATATATATATATACAGATATGTATATCTATGTGTGTATATATATGTATGTATATGTGTATGCATATATATATATATATAGACATACGGGTTTTTCAATGATTCGTTTTACCTTTGTTTTTCCGACGCGCTCGTGTCTGGGGGGCCCATCCTGGCGCACGAAAGGCCACGTGCCGCCGCCGCCGCCGGCGCCGGCGCCGCCCTCGCCCGGCAGCACCGACAGCAGGCTCCGCATGGCCTTGAGCTGCGGCCGCGGGGGCTGCGCCGCGGGGCGCCTGGCGGCGCGGCCCTCGCGGAGCAGGGCGCGCCACCTCAGAGGTACAGTCCTCCTCCTCCTCCTCCTCTTCCTCCTCCTCCTCCTCCTCCCTCCACCTCCTCCCCACCTCCCCTTCCTCCTCCCCCTCCCCCTTCTCCTCCTCCTCCTCCTCCTCCTCCTCCTCATTCTCCTCCTCCTCCTCCTCCTCCTCCTCCTCCTCCTCCTCCTCCCCCTCCCCCACGGGCCTGCCCCCCTACAGGCCGATGTTCGAGGGAAAACCACAGAGGTACAGTCAACCCGCACAGTAAGGATGCGCGATAAGGGTGCAAGGGCCTTGGACGCCCAGTTCGAAGCGTTTCGAGCGGGGCGCGGCCAGCGAAAGTGGCCCAGGAGGCACCGAGGAGGCAAGGATGCAAGGGCACCCTTGGGAATGTTGCCCGTCCTTACTGTGCGGGTCGACTATAGGCCCCCACAGGCGTGAAGTCGGGCCTGCCCCCCTACAGGCCGATTCTCGAGGGAAAACCACAGAGTGCCCAGCAAATATAAATATTCAAGAACACAAAAACATGATGAACAAATCGTCCCCAGACTATTTGTTGTGTGACGATTTTTCCCCCACATCCAAAGTGGGGTTCTTGTTTTCTCTGCACACGCCGCGCAGAATCTCACCCCCCCCCTTCCTCTCTCTCACACACACTCACCATCATCACCATCATCATCACCATCAACCACCATCATCGTCATCACACGCACACACTCGTCATCATCACCATCATCATCACCATCAACCGCCATCACCGTCATCACTACGCATCATCATAATCCTTCATTATTACTCATCATCAGAATCCTCATCATCATCATCATCGTCACCATCATCACCACTCGATCACCCACTCACTCACTCAATTACTCACTCATCCTCAGTAGGCTTCGGAGTCAGTGGTCCTCCGACGGTAGGACCGCCGCCACTCTCAACATCATCGTCACCATCTCCATCATAATCTCTCGACCACCCACTCAGTGGCCATCATGATCATCATCTGCATCATCATCACTCATTCATCACACTCATCATCATCATCATCATCATCATCATCATCATCATCATCATCATCATCATCATCATCATTCACTCACTCATCATGTCGTCATCACTCACTCCCTGGCTTGAATTTGGAGGTCATATCAGGCGGGAGCCTCGTCTGTGAGTGAATTGTGAGGAAGTCTCAGTCGGGAGCCCCTCCCTATGGGGCCCGCACCTCGCGTTTCTAATCCGAGGCGGGTCATTCGAAACGTGTAGCTGTCGTCACTTTTGGGCCATTGTGGCGAGAATCTGGAGGTAGTATCAGGCGGGAGCCTCGTCTGTGAGTGAATTGTGAGGGAGTGTCAGGCGGGAGCCCCTCCCTATGGGGCTCGCACCTCATGTTTTTAATCCGAGGCGGGTCATTCGAAACGTGTAACTGTCGTCACTTTGGGGCCCTTTTGGCGAGAATCTGGAGGTAGTATCAGGCGGGGGCCTCGTCTGTGCGTGAATTGTGAGGAAGTTTCAGGCGGGAGCCCCTCCCTATGGGGCCCGCGCCTCGCGTTTCAAATCCGAGGCGGGTCGTTCGAAACGTGTACCTGTCGTCACTTTTGGGCCACTGTGGCGAGAATCCGGAGGAAGTATCAAGCGGGAGCTTCTTCTGTGTGTGAATTGCGAGGAAGTCTCAGGCGGGAAGCTTCTCCCTATGGGGCCCGCACCTCACGTTTTTAATCCGAGGCGGGTCGTTCGAAACGTGTAACTGTCGTCACTTTTGGGCCCCTGTGGCGAGAATCTGGAGGTAGTATCAGGCGGGAACCTCGTCTGTGAGTGAATTGCGACGAAGTTTCCGGCGGGAAACCCCTCCCTATGGGGTTCGCACCTCATGTTTTTAATCCGAGGCGGGTCATCCGAAACGTGTAACTGTTGTCACTTTTGGCCTCCGGAAGGCTTGAATAAGAAGGATGTATCAGGGGGGAGCCTCGTTTGTGGGTGATTCGCGAAGAAGTCACAGGCGGGAGCCCGCCGGTCTGTCCCCGCGGGAGTCCCCGCGCTGAGCCAGCTCGAAGCATGCGAGCTGGAGCTGAGGCGCAGGAGGAGGAGGAAGAGGAGGAGGAGGAGGAGGAGGAGGAGGAGGACGAGGAACAGGAATTGAGGAGGACGACGGCGGCAGGGCGCAAGGGGAAACCCTTGCGTCCGGGCCGGGGGTGGTAACCCATCCTCGGCCGAAGCGGCGGCCGGGCGCAGGGCTCGTGCAGGAGCAACGGGCCACCATCGTGTCCTTCGAGTTTCACGCAGACGACGGGCGGGACTACGAGGAGTGCGCGCCGGGCCAGCTCTTGCGCCCCCGCTACCTGCCGCAGGGAATCTGGCTGCAGGTGCACGGCTTCCAGGAGTCCCCGATCTACAAGGACGTCGCCGAAATGCTGCAGCAGGGCGCCGACGGCGCTGCCGACGACGCCGAAGCCGAAGCGCGGGCGAGGAGCTTGCTCATGTTCAGGCCCAGCGAGCAGGAACTCACGTGGCAAAGCTCGGGGAAGCACACTGTGCGCCGTTCGGGGTTCACCCTGACGCATGCGTCCTTCCTGACCTCCACGCTGTCGCAGGGCCAGACGCCGCGAAAGGGCGTCACCATCGACTGCGCCAGGGATGAGGACGGTGGCCGCACGGGCATGTCGGACGAGATGTGGTGGCTGCACCTCTACGTCATGTTCTCCCGCGCCACGCGCATGCGGAACATGCTGATCCTGCGGCCGCCCGCGCGAGAGTTCCTGGAGCGCGGGCCGCTGGCGTCACTGCGGAAGGCGCTCCAGGAGTTCGACAAGAGAGCGGTGGACTCCAGGGCTGAGGCGGAACAGCTCGCGGCAGAGCTGGGCTTCGTGTTGCCGCCCGCCTGAGCGCCGCGGCGCGCACCTGGAGGCCCGCGGGGTTGTCCCAACGGCTCGCTCCCGCGCCCCTGCGGCCTGCGAGGTTGTCCCAACGGCCTGGCCCGAAGGGTTGCCCCGACGGCTTCGCGATCTAGCCGTCGGCAAACGCGCGCGTGCTGGCCGACGCGGCGACGGCGCCGAGGAAAATCGAGTTGCTTGCCACGACCAGGAGGAACGGGAGGTGCACATGGAGAAGAGGCAGGAGGATGAGGAAGGAAGGGGCATGGGGGAGTGCGACGACGAGGAGGAGGTGGCGCGAGATGAGGAGGAGGAGAAGGAGGAGGAGGAGGAGGAGGAGGAAGAGGAGGAGGAGGAGGAGGAGGAGGAGAAAGGAGGAAGAGAAATAGAAGGAGGAAGAGAGGGCAGTGCAGAGGGCGAGAGGAGAGGATGTCCGCCAGGGGGAGGAGGAAATGGCAAAGGGTAAGCTAAACAGGTTTTCGTGTGGGGTCCTACCGTCGGAGTAATTGAACATTCCAACTGTAGAGGGACACGCCCGACTCAACACAAGCGAAGCCATTCAATAAACGCACCTGGGGAAGGAATCGAAGAGGGCAAAGGGCTGTTTGGGAAACGCCTGGGGCCGTTTCGAAAACGTCCGTTGTCGGGTCTGGGTGTTTTTTTTTCCTCCCTTGACACCTGGCCCAATGGGCAAACGCCGCCACGGCTCCCAGCCAGGCGGCGGCGCAGAGGAAGGCCGTCGCGGCGAGCGCGAACGTCCTTTCCCACTCCTGCGCGGGTTGGGCGAACAGGGGATATACATATATATATATATATATATATATATATGGTTATATAGATATAGAGATATATATAGATATGTATGTATGTATGTATGTATGTATGTATGTATGTATGTATGCCTGCATGGAGCAGGTTCCTGTCCCCAGGATTGGTATCGCCTATTCCCGATAGCGACCTCAAAGACTCCCTCCTTTTTTTCTGAGGCGGCGCATCCCTGGGATTGCCATCGCCTCTTGGCTTGTCAACCTCAGGTAGAGGGATGAGCTCGAGCCTGGTCAAGAACGCATCGGCCCACGGAGGAAAAGGCCCGGTGGCGGAGCCGATCCTTGCTGATATCCGTGCCCTCGTCGTGCCCGGGCCCCCCGAGGAAGCACGCGGCCCAGTGGTGCGCGTACAGGAGCCAATGGTTCTGTACCTGGGCGAAGATGGCGGTGACGGCGCCCACGCCGGTCATCATGGCCACCAGGTGCACGGGCAGCTTGGCCCAGGGCATGGTCGGCATGGTGCTCTGGAAGGTCCTGCCGAGGACAGCGATCGCCCCCTCCCGGCACAAGGCGGCGCCGCCGATGCAGCCGATGCCCCCGACCTCGGGGGGCGGCCAGGAGGGGGGCGTCCAAGAGGCGGGGGCGCAGATCATGGCCGGCGGCATGTGCGCGGCCCCAGGGGGGCGGGGCCAGGACGCAATGAAACAAGAAGAGGCGCCATGAAATCTGGGGAAATATCATGGCCCACGCCACGAGGTCCCCCCCCCACCAATGAATCCTCAACCCCCTCTTTGCCGCCCCCGACGACCCACGCCCCCGTCGACGGTCCGACAGGCATACCCATGGTGGCAAGCTGGCACACGTGGGCCAGCAGCAGCGAGGCCTCGATGGGGAGCATCGCCGCGCGGGCGCGGTACTGGCAGGGGTGGAAGCAGGTGCGCAGGACGATCTCCCCGTTCGTGAACGGCAGCCCTCCCTCCGCGGTGCTCTCGCCAAGGGTGCTCACGGAGTTCGCTTGATTTTGATCCCAGAGACGCCTGAAGATCCACACCGTCTCGTACAGCGCAGTCTGCACGAGGTGCAGCACCAACCACCACCAGCTCGCCTTGGACACCTGCAACAACAGAATCACACTCAGCGCCGTGTTGAAGCGGACAGCCTCCACGCAGAATCGGAAGACGATGGCGAGCATCCACTGAGTTTCAGCGGTGAACTCACAGTGCTTTACCATGAGGTGGCCCACCACTTCCTCCGAAAAAAACGAGACTATGAGAAGACCAGTGGGGGCGAGGGCGGGGGTCCACAGCGTGAAGCTCGTCACGTTCCTCACGGCCATCGCGAAGAACGTGGGGAAAACCGCGGAGAGGAAGCACACCGCACAGAGCAGTACGAAGCGAGCGGCACGGGCCTGCTTGGACAGGGCCGCAGTCGCCCAGCTCCACATCACGACCACGACGGCGAGGATGATATTCATCCAGAGGCCATGGTTGTAGGGGAACACGACAACAAGCAAATACACGCTCAGGAACAGTGTCAGCAGAATAGCCGCCTCGATGGCTCTGCGAAACATCGGTTGGTTGCCCCCTTCCGACGACAAACGCGTGATGATGAGGCCCGCTGCGGCGAAGTACACTCCCACCAACAACTCCTTCAAGAAGTCCTTGAGACGGAACAGGAAACGGCATCAAATTTTTGCGGTCCGCGCGGATTTCTTGAGTCGGCGCTGGACGCGGAGCGCGCCAGGGGCGGCGCCAGAGGCGCCGCCAGAGGGCCCAAGGCGCAGATTCACGAAATCCGCGTAGACCGCCAACAATTTATGCTTATGCCGTTTCTGTTCTTCGAGTCCTGGGGGAACATCCACATCCCAACAGCGGCCAAGCTGTGACACACCGTGGAACCCACGAGCATGAGACAGTTGACCGCCCGGCCAGAGGCCCCCATCATCCACCGGCTGTGCCAGGCGAGCCTGCGCGAATCGCTGCGCGTGAGCCTCATCGCGGTCCGGCGCGGCGCCAACTCGCCGTCGGACGCCAGGCGGCTCTCCTCCGACGTCGGCACGTGCCCGAACGTGAAGGCCACGGCCATGGCGAGCCAGGTCAGCGCCCAGACCACCGCGAAGGCGTGCAGGCAGCCCCTGCGCGGGCCGCACCCGGCGGCGGCGGGCACCTCGGGCTCCCCGAGCAGCGCGGCCCAGTGGCTCTGCTGGAGGCCCCCGGCCAGGTCGTTGAGCGAGCCGACGCCGACGTCGGCCGAGGACGGGTGGCTCAGCAGCCTTCGGGCTGGGCGAAAGGGGGGGATAGCAAAAGGGGGGTTTGAGAATCAGCTCGCGTAGCTGATTTTCAAGGAATGGGCCCCGTGTATCGAGGAATGGGCCCCTCGGTGGGGCTGAAACCAGCTGCAGGCAGCAAATTTCGTAACCCCCCCTTTCCCAATCCCCCCCTTTCGTTCGGCCCGAGCTCAGCAGCCTGCGGACGAGGAGCTCGTCGAACGGGGCCACGCACCCGTGATCGTGGTCGACGGTGGCGGCGTCCCACAGCGGCGGCCTCGCGGCCGCTTCGGCCGAGTCCAGGAGCCACCGCAGGGCCAGCGCGGCCGCGCTGCGATCGCCGGGGACGGCGGGGACGAGCGCGGCGCTCCAGAACGAGTCGCCCAGCTGCGTGGCGTCCGCCGCCAGGCCGTTGCGCCGCTGGAACTCCTCTCGGGGATGGACAGAACCCCCTTTAGCAAAACGTGGTTTCGTGAAAACGACCCGAGGCCCAAACCTGGCGGGCGCCAGCCCGGAAAACAACACCGCCACGGCGCCCTCTCGAGAACCGACAACGGACAATTCACTCATCGACGTGTCGCTGTTGGGGGGCTCTGTCCACCCCCGATCCTCTATGGCCCCGCGCACGCCCTCGAGGTGGAACGGGTTGTCCGACAGGAAGGGCTCGCACTCCCGCACGCCGTGGTGCACCAGGAGGAGCGCCAGCGCCTCCAGGCGCCGCTGCTGGCGGTAGTCCCGGTGCTCCCTCCGCGCCGCGCCGTAGCCGAGGACGCCGTCCCAGCCGCCGTTGGCGAAGTCCTCGTGTTGAGTCGGGCGTGTCCCCCTATACGGGGGGATTTATTTTCGACGAAACATAGAAATACCCAAACAATGCCCCCAACATATGGTTTCAAAATGATCGGCAAACCGTCCCCAGACTAACTTTTGACTATTCTGGACTCTTCCTCCTCTAGAGGGACGGGCACTATTTTTTGACGATTTGTGGACCGTTCTTTGACTGCTCTTTGATTTAATCCTCGTAGACGTTCGGCCAGCCGCCGCCCGCGCCCGCCGCGCCCGCGGGCGCGCACCCGCGGGCCCACAGCAGCAGCGGCAGCAGCGGGGACCGCCCGCGCGGCGGCCATCTCATGCCCCGCCGGCGGGGGCGGGCGGCGCCGCCACGGCGGGGTTCGCGCCGGGCGGGGCCCGGGAGCGGGCCGGGGCGCCCGAGCGGGCCATGTCTCGAGGCACCGCGTGGCTGCTGCCATCGCGCGCGTGTGTGTGTGTGTGTGTGTGTGTGTGTGTGTGTGTGTATGTGTGTGTGTATGTGTGTGTGTGTGTGTGCGTGTGTGTGTGTGTGTGTGCGTGCGTGCGTGTGTGTGTGTGTGTAGGTGTGTAGGTGTGTGTGTGTGTGCGTGTGTGTTTTTTTGTGTGTGTGTGTCTGTGTGTCTGTCTGTCTGTCTGTCTGTCTGTCTGTCTGTCTGTCTGTCTGTCTGTCTGTCTGTCTGTCTGTCTGTCTGTCTGTCTCTCTCTCTCTCTCTGTCTGTCTGTCTGTCTGTCTGTCTGTCTGTCTGTCTGTCTGTCTGTCTGTCTGTCTGTCTGTCTGTCTGTGTGTGTGTGTGTGTGTGTGTGTGTCTGTGTGTCTGTGTGTGTGTGTGTGTCCGGGTCGAGCTACAGTCGGGGCGTTGACCTGAGGAACACAATCTGAGCATTTTCTTAGGGTGGAGGGTTCAGGGTGAAATCCATATGGGCTTTTGCACCTCGAACATCAATCCGTCTTGTGATTCACCTTTTGCAGATTCGAGCCCCGAAAATCCATCGAAACGGCATTTCAGATTTTACCCTTTGCCCTCCACCCAAAGAAAATGCCCGGGCAATAAGGAGCGAGGCCCTTTTTTCCCATAAGTTAAAGTTCGATTCTGCATGGAAGACCTAAGGAACACCTAAGGCAAACTAGAAAGCAGTCAAGAAACACTGAGCCGCTCCCCTAACGAAAAGGGTTCCTCCTTCAGCACCCCGAATGTACTTATCGCGCATTCGGCTCCTCCGCGCACGATCCTGCAAGCGTGGGTTTCTCCAGCAGCCGCGCGGGCTAGAGACGGAGCACGTTCAGCATCAGCAGTTGTTCTGAGACGTCCTCGCGTGGTAGCACAACTTCGATTTCGGGTGACGAGTGATCTCGCTTAGCGCAGATCCAAGGACTCGGCGCGGAGCTCCGGCGATTCACGTCTTTGTCCCTCTATCTTCCTCGGCAAGTCCAAGGCCTCTAGCCCGGACTCCAGTCGGCGGCGAGCGAAGGGGGCAAGTGAGAAGGAGACGGCCTTCTCAGCAGGCGGCGGGGCTTCTCCGAAGCCCCTCGCGCCTTCTGAGACGCTTCTGCGACCTCGGGGGCGGCTTAGAGCTCTCCTCAGAAGGCCGGGGGACTTGACATCTGAGCCTTCTCGAGAAGGCACGCCTCCTTCCACTTCAGCGCCGATCTTTCGCAAGTCCAGGGCCTCCAGCCCGAGGAGGAGGAGGAGGAGGAGGAGGAGGAGGAGGAGGAGGAGGAGGAAGAGGAGGAGGACACGAGGAGCACCCACGCTCCTCCCTCCCGTCTGGCTCCGAGCCGACAGCGGACCCACAGGAGCCTCACCTCTCCAGCGGGGGGCGCTCGCAGCATGACGGACGGGGCGCTTCTGCGCCTGGGTGGGGGTGGGGGGGGGGCCGGGACTCGGGAGGCGCTTCCATGCCCACCTCCCCCTCTACCTTCTCCTCCGCTGCCTCCTCGTCCCTCCCCCACGTCCTCCAACTCGGCATGCCGAGCCGATCGCCGCACGCCAGGGAAGGGGGGGGGGAGGCGGGACTTGGGAGGCGTTTCCATGCCCACCTCCCCCTCCTCCTCCTCCTCCTCCTCCTTCTCGTCCTTCTCCTCCTCCTTCTCGTCCTTCTCCTCCTCCCAGAGGCCGAACACGGTCCAACACCGCCCGCTCCAATTTTTCTCGGAGCGTCGGATCTCTGGGACGCCGACGGCGGCCGAGATAAGCAGACGTGCGAGACGACGAGCTAATCGTCGGCGTCGGCGTCGTCTTGGTCGTCGTCGTCGTGGTCGTCATCGTCGTCGCCGTCACCATCGTGGTCGGCGTCGGCGTCGCCGTCGTGGTCGTGGTCGACGCCACCATCGTCGTCGCCGCCGCTGTCGTCGTCGTCGCCGTCGTCGTCTTCGCTGTCGTCGTGGGGGAAAATGAAAAAAGACGAGTTCTCCCACCGGCGCAAACAGTAACGGGACCCCCCAAATTAGCCCCAACGACAGACTGGGCTGGGGTATGTGCCCAGAACGGGTCAAGAAGACTTCATCTCTGGGAGCCAGCGCTGGGGCAACCGTGCTCACTCAGAGAAGCTCAGCCGCAAACCAGAATGGGCTATACAGTGCGGGCGCGGCCGCAAGAAACCTTCGCCAGAAATCCCACCCTGAAAACCCGCACGCGAGGTGAACACCTGAGCATCCTGAACGCAGCAGCTTCTTCAACTTTGGTGGGAAGTCACCGAGCAGCGCGCGGAGCGAAGAACCCCAGGGTACCTTGACGAAAAGCAGATGGTTTCTTGATGCGCGCCCCCACTGTACAGTCAAAAACCCTAATAAGGACGCGCGGTAAGGACGCAAGACCCCTGGAAGCCGAAGTTGGGATCTTCGGGGCGGCGGACGACGAAAACCCCGTAAGCGGGCAAGCGAAAGAAAGGCCAAGGACGAGCCGCGAGAGCAAGGAAGAGCAAGGACGCAAGGGTACCCTGAGCAAAGCCGCGCGTCCTTGTTAGGGTTTTTGGCTGTACGTCCAGCGCGGGACAAAACCACCGCCATGCCTCGGCACAGCAAGCAGCACAGCCTGCGCGACGACAGCCAACTCGCGGCGCGATCACCTCGGGGCACGCGCGCGGACCTCGGCGTGTCCGCGCTGGCTCGCACCGCGGCCGGCGGAAATGCTCCGTCGCCGGCGCCGTCGGCACAGCGCCGTTCAAGGGGGGGAAGACTCTACGAGGACAACACGACCAAACCTGCTCTTCCATGTCCCCGCCGAGAAACGGGAATGGGGCGAGAGACGGGAATCGGAGGAGGAGGAGGCGGAGGAGGAGGAGGCGGAGGAGGAGGAAGCGGAGGAGGAGGCGGAGGAGGAGGAGGAGGCGGAGGAGGAGGAGGAGGAGGAGGGCGAGAAGCGGGAATTGCGACGCCGTGGTTTCTCGCAGCACGCGGGCCCCCGAGCCGTCGACCCCTGCATGGGGGTCCGTTGGCAGTCCTCGGCCGGCGTGGACGGTACCGGAGGAGGAGACTGACCCCCCGGTGCTTGCTGCGCTCGCTCCTGCGGTTACGTCCCTCCTTCCACGTCCAACGCACTCCCCAGCCACAGTCCCCAAGAGAGCCATCTAATGGGGCATGTGTCCAACACTGGACCCCACAACGGCAACTCTAGGAAACACTGCCAGAGTGTGAGACCTGCGTGGGCTGCAGGCCCAGGGTGGGACTCGACTCCGGCCTCTCTGCGAGTCAGTGCCGAGGCAGCCGTGATACCCCAGAGCAGCTTGAACATGAGACGTGGCCAGGCTGCTTGTCCAAGGCCGGGCAGGAACACTTCACTTCTGCGAGCCAGCGCTGGGAGAGCCGTAGCCGCATGGAGGAGCTCGAAGGTACTCGAGGCCTGAACTGGGCGATCATCTCTGTCCAGGGTTGGACTGGGAGGGCTCATGTGCAGAAAGCAATGTTGGATGTTGCATTCACTCCAGCCCTGCTCATCCCCTCCTGCGGCTTCAGAAGAAGGGACAACGACATGAACAGAAACTTTTGGCGCTCCGCGCGGATTTCTTGGATGCGCGCCAGGCCCCCCCCCTCTCTGGCGCGCGGAGCGCGCCAGGGGGCAGGAGGCGCAGCCACAGGGGGGGCCAAGCGCGGCTCCAAGAAATCCGCGCGGAGCGCCGAAAGCTTATGTTAAGGGCGTTTTTTCTTCTTCGAGGCTTCTCCCTGCCCTTCCTCGCGCTCCTCCTCCGGGGATCTTCTGACCCGGGTCAATCCAGACCTGGGTCAGCAGGAAACCAAACAACTGCAATGCAAAAAAAACAGACTGCAACGCAAGTCTTCGCAAACCCGGGTCAGCCAATAGGCGCGGCCGCCTCGCGGCCGGTGCCCTGGCTGACCCCCGTTTGCGTTGACCCCCGTCTCCCAGGCTCCGACTCCTCCCCCCCTCCCCTGCCGTCTCCCCTCCTCGTCTGCAAGCCTCCCGCGACACGCGATACTTTTCGGGCGTCGGCCCCGGTGGGCCTCTGCAGCCCCTCTCCAGGAGAAACTGTTTTTGTTCCATGTCCTTTTAGCGGCGGAGAAGGAGGAGGAGGAGGAGGAGGAGGAGGAGGAGGAAGAGGAGTGTCCACGCTGGGGCAAACAACTCACGCCAGAGCTACTAAATCCAGGGTGCTCGCTCAGAGCGGGCTGGGGAACACGCACCCTTACGATCCAGCATGGGGGGAGCCGTGCCCCACTGAGCAGCGCGGACGTTACGCCCGACAGGGCCGCTTCTCCAAGGTGGGACTGCCAATCTTCCTCTCCTCGAGCCAGCACCAGGGCAGCCGTGCGCAAGCAGACTTGCTCCAAGTCAAGACTAAGGCAACTGTGATCCCCCAGACTAGCTCAACGAGACGCCGCGATCCCCCAAATTCGCTCAAACGTACAAGCTGGGCAGGCTGCATATCCAGGATGGGGCAACTACACATTATTTCGACGGGCCAGCGCCTGGGCCACCGTGACCCACCCCCGATCGGCGCAAATGTGAAATCTAAATGGGCGAGATCTCCAACAAATGACAACGCATCCTCATCTCTACGACGAACCAAAACTCGGACAAAGGGGATCCCCCAGAACAGCTGACACATGTCAATGGTGGGGCAGGAAGGCATTCCATCTACTAGCCAACACCCGTTGTAGCTCAAACTTCGCACATTTAGCCGGCCCCCGTAGCCTCAGA